CCAGCCCAAGTCCATGAGTTTTGTTATCTTGAAAAGAGGGAGATGCCAATAAAGTTTTTTGTTTTTAATTAATGCTTGTTATTATTTGTTCTTTTTTTTTTTTTTTTTTTTTTAAATGGTAAGAAATCACTTAAAGCTCAATTATCAGGCTGTGTTTAAACTAACAGTTGTGATGACGCTTTATTTGAAATGCTATTAAAATGTTTAATCTGTTTCTGGTTTTATTAAATTAAACAACAGCACTTTAGGACTGAAGAGACAACTGAAGTGTTGTAGTTACATACAGATTAAACAAAAAGGCACATACATGCTTGTAACATTTTTTTCAACTCAATATTTCTCATTTAGCAATAGAAACTGCTCTCAAAGTATGTATATAAAAGATGTTGCTTTAGTCTGAAAAGTGAAGCCAGTGCAGACATGCCTGGAGTATTCTAATAGCCAGCAGGGGGCGGCAGAAAGTGTAGTGATTGTATAGGATTATAAAGGAAAGCGCTCACTGCTTTTCCTTTTTGACCTTAGTAAATACTTTAATGAGTTCATGGCCTCAATTGGTAGTTTCAAGTTTCACTGAACACGATATGTTTATTTTGTAAATTATGTTCTCCATTAATGTGAAAAAGCTACGCTAGATCACTCGATTTCATGTTAAGATCTACCGCGTACTTGTGACTTTGGTGAAGGTGGTAGGCAATAGCACTTTGCAAATCAATGGATGATGTCACAGTGGCACACCTTCCATCTTTCATCTATACAGTCTTTGAAAGCTACAACCCTGTTTATTAAACCATGAGTTAGACTCTAGCTAACAATTATAAGTAATGCTGAGCCTGAGAACAGATGTGTTAACGCTATTGTATGAAATCACTTTTCCAATATTTACATCACCTTTAAAGTAACTCTTATCTTGTGGATTTTGTTGCCCCAATAAATACATACTATAAATTGTAAAATTGTGATTTTAATATTTATTTCAATTGTGTTGTGTTAAAAGCATAGCTTCACAGTCAGTTTTTTTAATGGGTAATATATACAATTTTATTACAGTAGAACATTTTAAAATATAAATCTTAAAGGGGACTAAGTGACAAAAACTAAATCCTTGTGATAGGTTTGTAGCATAAACCTATTCGCTGGAACGTTAAGGACAATTTAATTACACAGCAAAGCAAGACACGAGTAGGCAAAGTTCTTCATGTTTCTCGTGCACGGGAGAGAACTGGACAAACGCCGTTCCTTCACTTGACCCCAGTTACTCTCGTCTGCTCCCCCGTAACACTGCTCCTTTATTGAGGTTACATGAATATGCATAGGTGCATTAACAT